TCAAGTGATCCGCCTACCTCCAGCCTCCCAAAGTGCTGGAGTCAAAACATTTCAAATCAAATCAAATCAATTTAGAAAAATGGAGTAAGATTTTATGTTAGTCCTATTTTAAGTTTTAAAAGGTTTTAGTTCTGCTAATGTAATTGTGCTGAAATATGTGCAAAAAGAAATGACATCATTTTCAGCTATTTTATGTTTTTATTAATCTTTCTTTCTTTCTTTCCCTCCCTCCCTCCCTCCCTCCCTCCCTCCCTCCCTTCCTTCCTTCCTTCCTTCCTTCCTTCCTTCCTTCCTTCCTTCCTTCCTTCCTTCCCTTTCTTCCCTTTCTTCCCTTTCTTTCTTTCTTTCTTTCTTTCTTTCTTTGCCAGGTATCACTGTGTTGCCCAGGCTGGAGTACAATGCTGTGATCACAGTTATATAGCAGCCTTGACCTCCCAGGTTCAAGCGTTCCTCCCACCTCGGCTTCCCTAGTAGTTGGGACCACAGGCGTGTGCTACCTTGTGTGACTAATTAAAAAAAAAAAAAAAAAAAAAAAAATATATATATATATATATATATATATTTTTTTTTTTTTTTTTAGGAACAGAGTCTCACTCTATTGCCCAGGCTGTTCTTGAACTCCTGGGCTCAAAGCTGTCCTCCTGACTCAGCCTTCCAACGTGCAGGGACTACAGGCATGAGCCACCATGCCCAGCCTCTGTTTCCCTTTTAAAATAATGTCCTAGTATATGAGAAGAACTCACTATATGACAAAAGAAGTCATACAACCTTATGTAAAAGCTGTGTGTAGGCTGAGCGCAGTGGCTCACGCCTCCCTACAAATGATATATGTAAATGTTAAGTGATCTGTAAGTGCTGGGATTACATATGACTTTTATTTTCCTCTAAACTTTTCAGAATTTTCTAACTATTCTATAGTGAACATAATACTTTTATAACAAACTAACAAAAAATTTAAGGTGTAATTAAAATCAAATGACTTGTTCTCCAGGAAGTGGAAAGAAAATAAAGTATCAGCGTGAGAAAGAACAAGATTCTTTTAAAAAAAAAATTTTTTTTTTTGGAGACGGAGTCTCGCTCTGTCACCCAGGCTGACATGCAGTGGTACGATCTCGGCTTACTGCAAGCTCTGCCTCCCAGGTTCACGCTATTCTCCTGCCTCAGCCTCCCGAGTAGCTGGGACTACAGGTGCCCCCCATCACGCCCAGCTAATTTTTTTAAAAATTTTTTTGTATTTTTAGTAGAGACAGGGTTTCACCATGCTAGCCAGGAAGGTTTCAATTCTTGACCTCATGATTCGCCCGCCTTGGCCTCCCAAAGTGCTGGGATCACTCCCAAAGGCGTGAGCCACCGTTCCTGACCAAAAAAACTTTTTTTTTTAATAGAGATGGCATCTCATGGTGTTGCCCAGGCTGGTCTCAAACTTCTGGGTTCAGGTAGTCCTCCTGCCTTGGCCTCACAAGGGACTGGGATTGTAAGCATGAGCCACAAAAATCAAGATTCTTACTTAATAAAGGGACATTAAAGATGACTTACAATGTTATTTAAGGTATAGTTCACAGGCCTCTGCTGGTCCATGAACTAGCTGTTCCTGGTTAGTGGTGAAATAAATACAAAAATTGCGTGTAAGCTTTTAGAAAGTTTTATAGCAGTTTGATAGCACTGCGATATCCAAGTGTGTGCTCATTTTTGTAGTAATTGATTTTTATTGTTATTGCAAAAGTATTGCTCCATGACCTGATTGGAGTGTTGTAAAAAGCAACCTTATCAGCCTATCTATTTAAAAGTACATTGAGCTGGGCACAGTGGTGTGTACCTGTAGTCCCAGCTGGGGTTTGGGGTGGGAGGATTAGTTGAGTTCAATAGTTTAAGTTCAGCCTGGGCAACGTGGCGAGACCACTGTCTCTAAAAATAAATAAATAAAATAAAAATACATTGATTTGTGAAACTATGAAATCTGAGACCAGTGATTTAGTACTTAATAAATATAAAGCACTTACTAGCTGTCAGGCACTGTTCTATAGAATTTTTGATTTAAGGCCGGGCGTGGTGGCTCATGCCTGTAATCGCAACACTTTGGGAGGCCGAGGCAGGCGGATCACAAGGTCAGGAATTCAAGACCAGCCTGGCCCATATGGTGAAACCCCATCTGTACTAAAAATACAAAAATTAGATGGGTACGGTGGCGTGCGCCTGTAGTCCCAGCTACTCGGGAGGCTGAGGCAGGAGAATCTCTTGAACCCGGTGGGCAGAGGTTGCAGAAGCTGAGGTCGTGCCACTGCACTCCAGCCTGGGTGATATAGTGAGACTTCATCTCATAAAAAAACAAACAAAAAAAATATATGTATATATTTAGTAGAGATAGGGTTTCACCGTGCTAGCCAGAATGGTCTGGATCTCTTGACCTCATGATCCTCTTGACCTAATGATCCTCATTATATATATAAAAATATATATATACTTTTTTTTTTTTTAATGGCTCACACCTGTAATCCCAGAACTTTGGGAGGCCAAGGCAGGTGGATCACTTGCGGTCAGGAATTCGAGACCAGCCTGGCCAACATGGTGAAACCCTGCCTCTAGTAAAAATACAAAAATTAGCCAGGCGTGGTGGTGGGCGCCTGTAATCCCAGCTACTCGGGAGGCTGAGGCAGAAGAATTACTTGAACCCAGAAGGCAGAGGTTGCAGTGAGCCGAGATCGTGCCACTGTACTCCAGCCAAGGCACCAGAGCAAGACTCCCGTCTCAAAAAAAAAAAAAATTTTTTTTTTTTTTTTACTTAATCTTCATAACAACCCTATGAAATAGGTACTGTTATTGTTCCTATTTCACAAGTAAGGAAACTGAGGCACAGAGAGGTGAAGTTATTCATATAAGGTTGCAAGTAGTAAAATTGGAATTCTAACCTAAGTAGTCTGGCTTCAGAGTCTATGCTCTCCAGTCACTCTGCAGTCATTTTTTTTTTTAAACAGGCTAAAGCCTTAAAAATAATTTTTTTTTTTTTTTTTTTTTTGAGACATAATTTCGTTCTTGGCATCCAGGCTGGAGCGCAATGGCGCGATCTCAGCTCTCTGCAACCTCTGCGTCCCAGGTTCAAGCCGTTCTCCTGCCTCAGCCTCCTGAATAGCTGGGATTACAGGCATGCGCCACCATGCCTGACTAGTTTTGTATTTTATATTTTAATTTTTATTTATTTTTTTGAGACAGTCTCACTCTTTCACCCGCTGGAGTGCAATGGCACGATTTCGGCTCACTGCAACCTCCGCCTCCTGGGTTTAAGCAATTCTATTGCCTCAGCCTCCTGAATAGCTGGGATTATAGGTGCCTGCCACCATGCCCGGCTAATATTTGTATTTTTAGTAGAGACAGGGTTTCACCATGTTGACCAAGTTGGTCTTGAACTCCTGACTTCAGTTAATCTGCCCACCTAGGCCCCCCAAAGTGCTGGGATTATAGGCGTGAGCCACCGCACCCAGCCTAGTTTTGTATTTTTAGTAGAGATGGGGTTTCACCATGTTAGCTAGGCTGCTGTTGAACTCCTGACCTCAGATGATCTGCCCGCCTTGGCCTCCCAAAGTGCTGTAACAGGCGTGAGCCACTGTCCCCGGCCTAAAAATAATTTTTAATGGATGATTACCTACCATGTTCCTCAGTAGAGGTTGCTTTCGGCTTGTTGGGTTGGGCACTTCTGTTCGTAACATCCCCGCCTGCCTGCCCCACTCACTAAATGCTTTACCAGTAATTGTGATATATTTTAAAAATAGAAAAAAACTCTCCACTCTTCATTATGAAATGTTCCCCTGGCTGAAAAATGTAGAGGTGCAGGGAATACTCCATAGTTGTAAAATTTTTTGTCTATAGGAATCTGCCTTCTAGCTTCTGATTGGTCATAGATCTGTGCTTCAAAACAAAAAAGGTCATCTTTCAGACCAGACATCTGTCTGTGTGTTGATCTGCATATAGAATTTCTGGAGCCTTTCTTTCCTGCTTGTTCTCCTGGGTCAGCATGTCATTGTGCTTCATAAAATAAGAATATAGAGCCCAGTAAGGCCATTACATCATTTATTATGGAGTCTATATTTCAGTTACCTATGACTTATAGGTAGCAAATCATACTGTTAACCTTCTTTGCCTAAAATTCTGAGGTCTTTATCCTTTGAGTTACTATTGAGCCAATCCTCACTTACCCAGTTTTTGTATAACTTAAGTTTTGAATCTAAGTGTAGGAATTTATATGTGTACCTTATTCCTTCTAAATTGAGTCTTTGTTTTGGCTTATTATTAGTCCTGAAGAAGTGTTGTTTTTTTTTTCTTTTTTCTGTTTCTGTGGTTTTTTTAAGCTTAGTTATGTCCGTAATACATCAATTCTCCTCCTCCTATTGTCTGTAAAATTGATGAACCTAGCTTTTATATCTTTAGATAAGTTACTGATTTTAAAATCTTCAGCAGAACTCTAGGGTATGCCATTAGATATTTCTTCTCATTTTGACATAGATCCTTTAATCAGTTCATTGTTGACATTAGCTAATGTATCTACTTGATTCTACGGTGGTTAGATCTGTATGCATGTATATGGTAGATTATAATAAAGGATCTGGGATAATAAGTGGTAAGGATAATCTGCTTTTAGATCATTGGATTTTCTGCCTGAAGGTTCATTCTTCCAATATGCTGGCTGCCACAGTAATCTTTGGAATAAAACCTTTTTCCCCCTTAGAATATTTAGAAATAACTAGAGATTTGTGACAGTTAGTAGGTATGCAAATAGATGAGGTTTTTATTAAAGTGTGATGTTTATCCTTAGGCAGTTCCTCTTGTGTATTGAATATCATTAGAGGAAAATGGATCATCGTTGTGGACCTAGAGTCTTGGTAGAATTAATGGCAGTAATTTGGGATGGAACTTCATTTTCTTTTTTTCTTTTCCTTGTGGGAACTACCGTTTTATTCACTGGTGTTCGTCCTGTTAACTAAGGAAAAGTTTTATTTTTTTCCCCTCAGCTTGCTGAACTAAAGCAAGAATGTCTTGCTCGTGGTTTGGAGACCAAGGGAATAAAGCAAGATCTTATCCACAGACTCCAGGCATATCTTGAAGAACATGGTGAGTACTTTGTGGAGGCAGAGTGATGTGAGTGAGGGGATTTTCAGGCTTTGACACTGAAAATATTTCTTTTTTTTTTTTTTTAAAGTCATTAGTGATGTAAGCTCTTAATTAACGGCATCAAGAAAACTCTTTTTTTTTTTTGAGATGGAGTCTCGCTCTGTCGCCCAGGCTGGAGTGTAGTGATGCAGTCTCAGCTCACTGCAACCTCCGTCTTCCGGGTTCAACCAATTCTCCTGTTTCAGCCTCCCGAGCAGCTGGAACTACAGGCGCACGCCACCACGCCTGGCTGATTTTTGTATTTTTAGTAGAGACGGAGGTTCACCATATTGGTCAGACTGGTCTAGAACTCCTGACTTCAGGGGATCCACCCGCCTCGGCCTCCCAAAGTGCTGGGATTACAGGCGTGAGCCACCGTGCCTGGCCATCTTGTACAACCTTCATCTCAGGTTGTACAAGTCCCCTCTCTAATTTTTATTTACTTATTCCCTTTTATTTCCATTCCTCGTTTCACTTCCTCCCCAACCCATTTAGGCACCCATTCTAATGTGTTTGAATGTATTTTTTTGGTCTTTTTCATGATAAAATATATAGTGTTGTTTCGTAGAATGTTTTCATTTATATAATTAGTAATTATATAACTGGCCATAGCCTTGCTTTATTTCTCATTTCATTCACTAAGTGTTGTGTTTTTTTTAAATGTGTCCATGTGGAATGTGACTGTGTAGTTATCTAGTCTGTTGATTCTAATTCCTGCATAGCATTCCATGATGGATAACCACACATTTTACTTAATTCACTCGGTGACAGAAACATATTGCCACCAAGCCTCTGCTACTACAAGTGATACTACTTATAGTATACTATATGTATATAATAGTATATAGTATATATTATGTTATGGGTTGAATATTATATATTTGAAATGCTTGAGACCAGAAATGTTTCAGTTTTTAGATTTTTTTTGGATTTTGGAATATTTGTGTATATATGTAATGAGATATCTTGGGGGTGAGATGCAAGCCTAAACACAAAATTCATTTGTTTCTTATCCATATATTTGAAAGTAGTTTTACACAGTATTTAAAATAATTTTGTACATGAAACAAAGTTTTGACTGTGACCCATCGCATGAGATTAGGTGTGGGGTTTTCCACTTGTGGGGTTGTATCAGCCTTCAGAAAATTTTAGATTTAGAAGCATTTTAGGTTTTGAATTTTCAGATTGGCGATGCTTGACCTGTAGGATATAGTATACTATATTCTATATACTAATAATATATAGTATATTATTATGAACTACTTATTTCATGCTTTTAAGTTCCTGTGAAAGTTATTTTGGGGTGTATGCCCAAGAGTGGTATTTCTAATTAATATTCATACATATATACTTAATGTGACTAAGGACTCCCAAATTGTTTTCCAGAATTGCTCTATAGATCTACAGTCTCATTACTAGTACATAAGGGTTCTTGTATCTCCACAAACTTAAACTTGGCACTGTCCTATCAAGTGGCCTAAGTTTTGCTAATTTGTTGGCTGTTTTATGTTCTCCATGAAAAAAGTTTAAACATTTCACAATTCTTTTGTTTCTTCTTTGCCCATTTTTCTATTGAGGTTCCCATAATTTGCTTGTTGGTTTGCAGGCATTTCTTTTATATCCTAATAACTATTCTTTTGTTGGTTTTAGGCACAAATATCTTCTTTGGCTGTGCAGGGTGGTTCATGCCTGTAACTCAGCACTTTGGGAGGCTAAGGTGGTATGACCTCTTGAGGCCAGGAATTTGAGACCAGTCTGGACAGCATAGTGAGATCCATCTCTAAGAAAAATAATAGAATTAGCTGGGTGTAGTGATGTGCACTTATAGTCCTACCTACTTGGGAGGCTAAGGCAGGAGAATCCCTTGAGCCCAGGACGTGGAGGCTGCAGGGAGCTGTGATTGTGCCACTGCACTTCAGTCTGGGCGATAGAGTAAGACTCTGTCTCAACAGAAACAAATATCTTGTCATTTGTCTTTTAACTTTCTTTGTGCTATCCTTAAGTAGAAGTACTTAGTTTTGAAAAATATTCAGTTTTTCACCTCTTACTTTTGCTTCTGAGTTGTTTTTCTTTTAAACAAATCTTTCCCCACCACTAAATCTCAAAGATATTTTTCCACATTACTTTTTTTGTTTGTTTATTTTTCAAGACTGGGTCTTGCTCTGTCACCCAGGCTGGAGTGCTGTGACATCATCTCAGCTCACTGCAACCTCTGCCTTCCAGGTTCAAGTAATGTTCTCACTTCAGCCTCCCCAGTAGCTAAGACTATAGGCACACACCCCCACACCCAGCTACTTTTTAAATATTTTTTGTAAAGACGGGGTTTCACTGTGTTCCCCAAGCTGGTCGCTTGAACTCCTAGGTTCAAGGATCCACCTGCCTCTGCCTCCCAGATTTGTGGGATTACAGAGAGCCACGGTGCCTGACCCCACATTACTTTTAAAATTAAAATTAATTCTCTAGTTTGACTTCACATTTAGTTCTTCAGTCCAACTGGAGTTCACATTTGTAATTAATGTTAGGTAGAGATCTGGTTTTGTCTTCTCCAGATGTAGCAGATTTTATGTGCATCAGTTTCTGCCTTCACTATTGGATTTTTTGGGGGAAAGCAAAGTGATTATAATTTTAACCTTGGTAAGTGATCAAGATGGTTTTGTAGCAGGGCTTGACCTGAATATTTTAATATTCTTTAGCTGAAGAGGAGGCAAATGAAGAAGATGTACTGGGAGATGAAACAGAGGTGAGTTGGATAGAGTAAGGTTAGTCTCTGGTCTGGTAATATGACACTGCTTTGGCCACATTGCTTTAACATCAGTCATTGGAAGACTTAGATATAAATTTATTAGGGGAGCATAAGATGGGTATGAAGGTTCTGAGAGACTGGTTTATTTTGGAGTTCTGATGTTCTTCTATTGATAGATATTTTTTATTTAGATTTATGTTAACCACCTTGTTTCATTTGGTTTTAGGAAGAAGAAACAAAGCCCATTGAGCTGCCTGTCAAAGAGGAAGAACCCCCTGAAAAAACTGTTGATGTGTAATTATCTCTTTTTTATAATCTGAGTACAGAGCAGGCAGCTCTTTTTTTTATTGTGTTTAATGTTTAACTCTGTTTACCTCTTACATGTTCCCATTGGCCTTTTCATTTCTGATTAGGTCATTTTTTGTTTTTTAGAAGGGACTACTTCAAAGTACTTGGTCCCAGTGAAACAAAGCAAATTGTCTCTGATTTATGTAATAGGTAATTAGGACAAGGCACCTTCAAGCCCAGACATAGTTTAATTCTCCTAGCCTTTGTTGTTCTTTTGTAGGGTCACTATAATAGATTATTCTGTTACTCTATAGAGAATCTGTACAATTCTGTATACAGTGTAAAACTGTATAAACTCTGTTAACTCCTTTTTTTTTTTTTTTTTTTTTAGACGGGATCTCCCTCTTTTGCCCAGACTGGAGTGCAGTGGTGCAATCTCGGCTCACTGTAACCTCCGCTTCCCAGGCTCAAGCAATTCTCCTGCCTCAGCCTCCCGAGTAGCTGGGATTATAGGCATGCGCCACTACTGCCCAACTAGTTTTTGTATTTTTAGTAGAGACAGGGTTTTACCATGTTGGCCAGGCTGGTCTTGAACTCCTGACCTCAAATGGTCCACCTACCTTGGCCTCCCTAAGTGCTAGGATTACAGGTGTGAGCCACCATGCCCAGCCCATTCTCTTAACTGTTTATAAGAGTTTTGCACTTTTCTGTAAAAGTGTAAAACTTAGGCCAGGCACGGTGGCGCATGCTTGTAATCCCAGCACTTTGGGAGGCCGAGGCGTGTGGATCACGAGGTCAGGAGTTCAAGACTAGCGTGCCCAAGATGGTGAAACCCTGTCTGTACTAAAAACACAAAAATTAGCTGGGCATGCTGGTGGGCACCTGTAACCCGAGCTACTCAGGAAGCTGAGTCAGGAGAATTACTTGAACCTGGGAGGTAGAGGTTGCAGTGAGCTGAGACTGTGCTACTGCACTCCAGTCTGGGAGCCAGAGCTGTCTCAAAAAAAAAAAAGTGTGAAACTGTATATAAGGAGTTTTGTAAGGGAGGAAGGTGTTGGGTAGAGGTTATGTTTCTAAAGTAGCACTCTGTTCTCTCTTGCTTTCTGATCTACAGTGGAGGAGGGGAGGACAAAGTGCTAGAATGGAAAGTAGATCTTGATTTATTTAAACTGTTCCACAAGGGTGATCCTAAACATCTTTAATTTGGGACTTTTCCCACAAATATCTGGTCATTTTGTGTATTACAGCACATTAAGAACAGTTGAGTCGGGCCGGGCGCGGTGGCTCACACCTGTAATCTCAGCACTTTGGGAGGCCGAGGCGGGCGGATCACGAGGTCAGGAGATCAGGAGGGTGAACACGGTGAAACCCCGTCTCTACTAAAAATACAAAAAAAAAAATTAGCTGGGCGTGGTGGCGGGCGCCTGTAGTCCCAGCTGCTCGGAGGCTGAGGCAGGAGAATGGTGTGAGCCCAGAAGGCGGAGGTTGCAGTGAGCCGACATCGCGCCACTGTACTCCAGCCTGGGCAACAGAGCGAGACTCCGTCTCAAAAAAAAAAAAAGAACAGTTGAGTCCTAAACTTTTAACATTTTTGTTCCTCATAGCTGTGTCAGTGCATTTAATTATAAAAGGCAATATATTTACAAGTAAAAAGTCAGTACATAGTGAAGTATATCAATTAAAAATTAAGTACTCTTTGTATCCATTCTCATCTGACTTTACTGAGGTTTTTAGAACAGTACATACTTTTGGAAGATTTTATATGGGTCTGCGTGTGTTTATGTGCATACGTATGTATGTGTATATATAGATACACCTGTACACACACTATGTACACTCTTGATTTTTTTCGTATCTGGAAATTTTTTATATCATCATTTTCTTATGTAAGTGTTAGTTATACGCTAGGCATTGTTCTTAAGAGTTATATGCTAGGCATTGTTCTAAATGTTTTACAAATACTTTCATTTTATCCTCAGTAGACCCTATGAAGTCAGGATAATTATCCTAGGAAGTAGTCTCTTTTTTGTTTAGCTTGTCATTATGGGAAAGTACAAGTATATACAAAAGTTCAACTAGTATAATAGACTCTCATCTACCTGTCACCCACATTTGCTAGTTATCAACTTAGAACCTTGTTTTTTCTAGCATTTAATAGTATTCCATTCGGTGGATAAACAGTAATTTATTTCACAAGCGTTCTGTTGATGGACATTTAGATTATTCATAAAAGAAAAAAAAAATGTAGTTCTGCATGTCCTTTTCTAATTATTTATACTCACAAGTATACCCGTAGGGTAAATTCCTAGCAGTGGATTTGCTGCATCACAGAGGATGTACATTTAACATCTTGATAGATTTTTGTCAAATATCCCTTTATATATTTTTGAGACAGGGACTCTTATCCAGGCTGGAGTGCAGTGAAACAATCTTGGCTCACTGCAACCTCCTTTTCCCAGCTCAAGCAGTCCTCCAGCTTCAGCTTCCCGAGTAGCTGGGACTATAGGCATGAGCCACCACGCCCGGCTCTTTTTTGTATTTTTTGTAGAGATAGGGTTTTGCTGTGTTTGCCAGGCTGGTCTCGAACTCCTGAGCTCAAAGCAATCCACCTGCCTTGGCCTCCCAAACTGCTGGGATTACAGGTGTGAGCCACCATGCCCAGCCTTTCAAATATTACTTTCTAAAGCCATTTAGTTATCTTTCCATCATAAGATGTTTATGATTAGATATAGTGCCTTGAAAAAATGACTTTGTGAGATAGTTTTAAAGTAGAAATGTTACGGGGATTTCTGGAACAAGAAAGAAGATCAAGTGAATACCATCATAATTGGCTTGTGTGGGTTAAAAAAATAGAGGTTCAAAAGTTTGAAATTCATTATTCATAGAATATTTAAAATGTGCATTCTGTTCAGGGGGTTTTAATTCTATTAATGAATTTTGAAGCTAGGAAATTGAAGTGGGTGGGGTGATCATTTTGATTTTTAGAGGATAGTTGTGGTTAGACTGAAGTATGTACAAAAAGATTCTGGGTCTCTGTATTTCTGAGAATGTTGTTTATGTGATTGGGTAGGAGAGAAATTTCTCAGTGAAGAGTGGAAATTTCCCATGCATTTGATGTTTGTTTATTGCGCTTGAGTTTAGTTATACCTAAGGGAATTGGAATAGAATGGAAGGAAACTTCCCTTCTGGGGTTCCCTTTCTGCCATGAGGTGCACTGCATTGACTGTACTTCAGAGTGGGAATGGGGGGAAGCCATTGCAGTTGGGTTAATGGAGAGTACTGCTTTCTTGATGGCATTGTATTTCAAGTAAAACATTAAACTTCTTTGGCCTTCTGTGCCTGAATTATAAGACAAGATTAGGGAAGGATGGCAAGGAAATTGGAATTGTTTAGAAATTTCTTTAAACATCAGAATAGTCAGGGCTAGTTTAGATTCTTTGACTATTTAAAAGGAGATCCCTTTCTTCATCTTTGGCCTGAGGTTCTCCAAAAATGTATCTGTTTCTAGTTTGATTCCCCACCCCCAACCAGCTAAAGCAGTTACATATTGTAGGACTTTGTTATGGTCAGCAGGGGGCACCCATTGCTTGTCTGTCAGTCCAGGGATTTCCAATAAAAGGGTGGAAGAGAGTACTTGTTCCAGAATTGCTTCCTCTGAAAATGTCATTAAACCATTACTACCTTTCAGGGCATCAAATGGGAAAAGTGTCCGGGATATTGGAACAAAAGCTGCCCATGTCTCTAAATGAGGGACCTTAATGAGACTGGTTATGACCCACAGTTTTATGGGAGTTGTTTGGTGGAGGGTTAATGCCCTTCCATTTATCCTGGGTACTTCCGAACTTTGTCTCCCGCCCCTATGGTCCCCCCTCTTTTGTTTTCTCTTAAACCTTTGACCAGTAACTTGCCATGTTTTCCTAATTCAAACTCCCCTTAGACTTTTTTCTTCCTACCTTCTTTGGCATTTTTATTTGTTCCACTTTGTTCCAACTAGAGCTACATTCCTCATGGGAGAAATAAGGGATTTTTAAAAGAAGGAAACCAGACCTTGTAGAGTACTTAATTGTGATGAATATTGGGAGCTGGTACTTAAAGGAGGATTGGAGGGTTACTCATTAGTTCAAAAGTAAATTAAAGGCTGGGCTTGGTGGCTGACGCCTGTAATCCCAGCACTCTGGGAGGCTGAGGCAGGTGGATCACTTGAGGCCAGGAGTTCGTAACTAGCCTGGCCGACATGGTGAAACCCTATCTTTACTAAAAATACAAAAATTAGCTGGGCGTGGTGGCAGACACCTGTAATTCCAGCTACTTGGGAGGTTGAGGCAGGAGAACCTCTTGAACCCAGGAGGTGGAGGTTGTAGTGAGCCGAGATTGCACCGTTGCACTCCAGCGTGGGTGACAAGAGCAAAACTCTGTCTCAGAAAAAAAAAAAAGTAAATTAAAAAGTTCCTAAAAGCAAATGAGATGGTTTCTGGTGTCCTTTGAGTGTTTCCCTTCAGCCCAGTATATTTAATCAGACTTCTTTCCTTATTTCTTTATTGTACTTTAGCTAAAAATTAGTTTGTTATTTGAACTCTTTCTTCTCAATAGATGACAGTTAAAGGAACCAAAGCTCTAGTGAACTTCATGTTTCTTTAGCTTAAGGGGTGGCAGAGAGATAATAGGGCAGAGATAATTCAAGTGAATTCTTACACATTTCTGAGGTTGTGGTTTAGAATATCAGTTTTCTCATTTTAAAAGATCTCTTTCTTTTCTAGGGCAGCAGAGAAGAAAGTGGTGAAAATTACATCTGAAATACCACAGACTGAGGTAGGTATTCTGTTCCCTAGTAGAACAGTCTATACATTTCTGTCTCCCTCTTACCCTTTATTATATCCGCATCATCCTCTAAAATTTATTCACAGGCAGAAAATCAGTATTGACAGATTTTGGCGTTGAAACGTTTCACTGCCAACTGCTCTTTGGAAAATATTTGGCTGGCATAGGGGTAGTCATTCTTGAAGCTGTAGTCTTTTTATATGTAACACTATTGTCTTAACAATGACTCTCTTTGAGATGTTTACAAACCTAGGATTAGAATTTGGGAGGATTGTACTTTGAAAATGTATTGGTAGATGTGACTCTTATGTTGCTACCGGCCAGTAGCTGAGATTGAAATTCCACTGGTTTCTGTGGTGTAGGACTGTGAAACCAGGTTCCAGTTGAGATCTTGTGTTCAGTGTCATACTTGCAAAGTAGAGAATTATTAAACTCTTTTAGAATGGCGTAAAACAATGCTGCCTCATTTCTAACTGAAAGAATGCCATTAGTGTTGGAACCAAGCTATTCCTTTGATCACTTTTCAAAGGTCAGCCAAACATAGCTTTTGACTTCTTGGCTTCATGTATAATGTAGGTTTTACTTTATTTCTCCCTTTTGTTTTTGAGGGTATGTAATAATAGTCTTTTTGTGTTTGCTTTCTGGGAAGGGCTGTTAAGTCCTAGTATGGACACAACCTGCTATCCTCTAGGATTGTCAGTATTTTCAGTTTGGACCCATAAGAAATTACTTCTGATGTTTTTAAGATACCTTCTTTTGGCTGGGCGAGGTGGCTCACGCCTGTAATCCCAGCAGTTTGGGAGGCTGAGATGGACAGTTCACTTGAAGTCAGGAGTTCGAGATCAGCCTGGCCATCATGGTGAAATCTCATTTCTACTAAAAGCACAAAAATTAGCTGGGCACAGTGGCACAGTCCTCTAATCCCAGTTACTCGGGAGACTGAGCCACGAGAATCGCTTGAACCCAGGAGGCTGAGGTTGCAGTGAGCTGAGATCATGCCACCGTACTCCAGCCTGGGGGACAGAGTGAGACTTTTTAAAAAATTTTTTTATTTTTATTATTTTTATTTTTTTAAAGATACCTACCTTTGACTAACTTTCTTAAACCATATTGACATTTTTTTTTTTTTTTCCTTTTTTTTTTTTTTTTTTTTTTTTTTGGTCTGTTTTTACTTAGAGAATGCAGAAGAGGGCTGAACGATTCAATGTACCTGTGAGCTTGGAGAGTAAGAAAGCTGCTCGGGCAGCTAGGTGAGTGTCCCCAGCCTTTTGGGCCTGCGATAGTGATGTTGTAAAGGTGAAGATATGTGATCCTAGGTTTTTGATATAATTGTTGATTTAAGTAGAATAGAGGCTTCCTGAAGGATATGAACACTTTTTTGACCCTATTCAGAACATATCTACTGGTTTGGTTATAGTAGCTATAAATTGGGCTTTATTGAGAAGGGTTTTTGTAACAGTTAAAGCCAGGAACTGACTACTACTACTACTAATTCTGATAAGGCTTACTCTTAGCTTAATCTCTGTACTTGGTAAGAGGGAGAGTAAACTGAACCTCTTTCATGGGGTTGTTAGAATTAGCTAATGATTGCAAGACTTGAGATCACAAGCAAGAAGTGTCATATGTATACTTGACACGGAGACAGACAACCAGGAGTGTGAACAGCTTCCTAAAATTTAGTTTGTTTTTCCTTCTTCAGGTTTGGGATTTCTTCAGTTCCAACAAAAGGTAAGAGTACAGAGATACTTCTGAGAAAGTTACCCTTTTATTCTTTCTTTTCTGGTATAACAGGTTTCATTTCTCCAAAATAAGGTAAATTTGCTAGCTGTAGAAACTCTTAAGAGATTATAGCATTCATCTCCTGCTTTAGATAAAATTATTCTTAGGCCTTCCTGGGCAATTAAAAGAGATACTGAATGTTATGAGAGGATAGGAAGTGCCAACATTTGTCTGTCTTTCTTGAACATCTTCAAAGAAGTTTCTCTAGTACTTTGCTTACTTATTCTAGGGTCTCAACTGCATAAAATTATTGCATACTATCCGTGTTATACTGGCTATTATAAGTGATAAAAGGGAAAAGAATATCTTCTACCTTAACAGTTTTACTTCTAGGAACGTATAAGGAAATAGTCTTGAATGTGCATAAAGACTTAGCCTCAAGGATTATCACAGCATTATTTATAGTGATCAATAACTGGAAACAACCAACTGTACAACAGAGAATTGGTTATTAAATGTGTGCCATGGTATAGAAGACTATAGTGTGCTGAAATAATATTGAAAGGTATTTATCAGCGATATTAATAAAAAGTTACAAATTTATATTAACAGTATGTTCCTGTTTTAGTCATGTAAGAGTGCATGTATAGATAGGAAAAAGGATTGAAAGGATATACAGTAGACACTTGAACAACACAGGTTTGAACTGCACAGGTCCACTTATACATGGATTTTTTTTTTTTCCCCCCAATAAATACACTTTGCCCTCTGTATCTGAGGGTTCTTCATAACCAAATGTGGTTCAGAAATACAGTATTTTTGGGATGCGAAACCTGCAGATATGGAGGAGCATCTTATTATAATCTGCTACAGAACTTGAGCATAGTGGATTTTGGTATCAGCTGCAGGGGTGGGGTTGGATCCAATCCCCTGAGGAAATGGAGGGATGACTGTATTCTAAATTGTTAGTACTCATTATCTGTGGTTGGTGGAATTTTGAATGATTTCTTTCTTTTTGCTTGTCTGTGTTTTTAAAATCCATACAATGAATATGTATCACTTTTATAATGAATTAGAGGAAATTATTACTATTTTTTGAAACAGTCTTGCTCTGTCACCCAGGCTGGAGTGCAGGGACGCAGTCTGGCTCTCTGCAACCTCTGCCTCCCGGGTTCAAGCTATTTTCCTGCTTCAGCCTGCTTCAGCTGGGACCGCAAGGTGCGTGACACCACACCCAGCTAATTTTTGCATTTTTAGTAGAGACAGGTTTCACTGTGTTGGCCAGGCTGGTCTTGAACTCCTGACCTCAAGTGATCCACTCACCTCTGCCTCCCAAAATGGTGGGATTACAGGTGTGCCGAGCCTGAAATAGTTATTATTTTTAAGAAACTCTGGGTGTGGTGGCTCACGCCTGTAATCCCAACACTTTGGAATGCCAAGCTGGGAGGATTGCTTGAGCCCAGGAGTTGGAAACTAGCTTGGGAAACAAAGTGACACCTTGTTTCTACAAAAAATTAAAAAATTAGCTAGACATGGTAGCAGGTGCCTGTAGTCCCAGCTACTTGGGACGCTGGGGTGGGAGGATCTCTTGAGCCTGGGAGGTCTTTGCTGTGCTTTTAAAAAGGTGGAAAAATTTCTGGCCACTATCACTAAGTGTTATAGAAAAAAAATTTTTTTTCTGACTCTTAGTTATACCAAGAGAGATATAATATAATAGATAGTCTGAAAAGGGAACCTGATAAAAAATAGTTTCAGTTCTACTCATAATTCTGACATCTTAGAACTATAGAGTAACTCTAAAATAACGGAATTTGGGAACATTTAAAAGGAAGCATTGTTTTTTGAATGAAATCCTGAAAAGTTTGAAGTAAATAATTATTGGTTAGGTTCTTGGTGATAATTTCAGTACAGAAAATTGGCCTTAAGGAAGCATAATTTCTTTTTATTTTTTTTGAGTTGGAGTCTTGCTGTGTTGCCCAGACTGGAGCGCAGTGGCACCATCTTAGCTCAGTGCGGCCTCTGCCTCCTGGGTTCAAGCAATTCTCCTGTCTCAGCCTCCTGAGTAGCTGGGACTACAGGCGCATGCCACCACGCCCTGCTAATTTTTGTTTTTTTAGTAGAGACGGGATTTCACCATATTGGTCAGGCTGGTCTAGAACGCCTGACTTCAGGTGATCCACCTGCCTTGGCCTCCCAAAGTGCTGGGATTACAGGCATGAGCCACCGCGCCCGGCCCAGGAGCCAAAGTTTCAACTCGTGATAGTAGTTCTTGTTTGTCCAGATGTGATCTCTTTTTTAAGAGCTTTAGAGAGATGCAATTTATATGACATAACAATTCATCCATTTAAAGGTATATAATTCATTATTTCGTAGTATATTCACAGGGTTGTGCAGCCATCATCACCGTGCTTATCACCCCAAAAAGAAGCTGTGCCCATTAGCAGATATCCTCCATTACCTCTCCCTGCCCAGCCCTAAGCAGCCGCTTAGTTTTTTTCTCCGTGGAAATTTGCCTTCATATGAATGAATTCATATAGTATATTGTTTTTAGTGACTGGATTCTTTCACTTAGCATAGTTTTCAAGGTTCACTTATGTTGTAGCATGTGTCTCTATTCATTTTTATTATTTAATAATATTCCATTGTATGGATATACTATACTTAATTTAGCTAGTCATCAAGCTGATGGGTGTTTTTCTTTAACTTTTTGTCTAATATGAATAATGCTACTGTGAACATTTATGTACAAGTTTTTGTGTAATTATATGTTTTCCACCGCTGTATACTAGCGGTGGAATTGTGGGATCATACGTAACTGTATTTACCTTTTGAGGAACTGCCAAACTGTTTTCCAGAGCAGCTGTACCGTTTTATGTTCCTGCTAGCAGTTAATGCAGACATGATTGCTAGATGGAATTTCTGCCTTTTCTTTGTCATCATAGGATAAAGGGGGTGTGTCCTGTATACAGTTTTTATGTTGCCTAATTTGACTTGAAGACTGTCGGCTTTTATGACTTTTAAAAATATTAAATAAAATTTTGTTTACTTCCTTAGGTCTGTCATCTGATAACAAACCTATGGTAAGAAATCTTTTTTTATTTCTTACACACCCAGATCTTAATTCTGTATAGCTAACTTTAGAGACTCCTCCTCACCAGATTAGAAGAAACTCTGAGAACATTAATTTGTTGACTGTTTTCAGTATAATGTTATATGTCCTGAATTTAAAAAATTGTTGGAGATACTGAGAGGTCAGGAAAATTGTCACATGTTCAGTTACTGCAGACGTCTTTCTTCCTACCACTCTTTTCGAAAGTAAGAATAGATTTTGTTAGCTAGAGAACAACCCGTGCATGTAACTCTTCGTTTTATGGTACTGAAGCCTTGTCCAATGGCCTTAGATAATGTCTAATTCATAATTACCACAAGAGAATCTATGGAAACAATTTAGGAGTTCTGTTTGTAGATAGTGCTTTTTTTTTTTTTAAATTTTTTAAATACTATCCATGAAATGTGAAATCAGAGTAAAGAATGGTAGAATAAAATGGCTTTCTGGACCATTGTTACTAGTCAGCATATTTTTTTTTTTTTTTGAGACGGAGTCTCGCTCTGTTGCCCAGGCTGGAGTGCAGTGGCCGGATCTCAGCTCACTGCAAGCTCCGCCTCCTGGGTTTTCGCCATTCTCCTGCCTCAGCCTCCCGAGTAGCTGGGACTACAGGCGCCCGCCACCTCGCCCGGCTATTTTTTTTGTATTTTTTAGTAGAGACGGGGTTTCACTGTGTTAGCCAGGATGGTCTTGATCTCCTGACCTCGTGATCCGCCCGTCTCGGCCTCCCAAAGTGCTGGGATTATAGGCTTGAGCCACCGCGCCCGGCCTAGTCAGCATATTTTAAGAATGGTAACGAATACTGTGGTGAAATAGAATCAGCTTTATGAAATCCTGCTTTAGGGGTTGCTGCTTAATATTGTAAGTTAAGATTTAATATTATTAATGAAAATTTCCTATTCTTTTTTTTTTTTTAAGATGGAGTTTCATTCTTGTTGCCCAGGCTGGAGTGCAATGGTGCAATCTCAGCTTACTACAACCTCCGCCTCCTAGGTTCAAGGAATTATTCTGCCTCAGCCTCCAAAGTAGCTGGGATTACAGGTGCCCCCCCCCACCATGCCTGGCTAATTTTTGTATTTTTAGTAGAGACGGGGTTTCACCATGTTGGCCAGGCTGGTCTCGAACTTCTGACCTCAGGTGATCTGCCCACCTCGGCCTCCCAAACTGCTGGGATTACAGGCATGAGCTGCCGCACCCGGCCCTAAATAATTCTTACAATAGTAACGAGTCCATGTACCAAGGTTTCCAAGAAAGAGGAGGGAAGAGAATCGAGTGGGTAGTGGTTATAGATTATCTTCTGAAAAAGGTGCTTCTGTGATAGTTTCTCTTTGCTTGGAGATAGATTTAAGAAACACTTGCAGAGGCGATATGAGAATTAATGATTTTGGATTGAGAATGGTAGACTTGTTTGGAGGTGATGATTTAGACATGTGTTTGCTTTCTCCAGCAGTGTTTGCCTTCCCTTGATCTTAAGCCCTCCTTAGGCTGTTGACACCTGTGATAAATGCAGGAGGCAGGACTGAATGTTTCACTGCATTCCAGAGGGAGGCCTTTTAATAATCAGTGGACTGGATGGTTGCTGCTTAGTTTTCTTATTTTTCTCATAGGGTATCTTTGATGTTATAGGCTTGTTTGAACTCTTAGCTTCAGACTATAGTTTCTGCATTTTTTGTTTTCTGTTTTGATTTTTTAAAACTGTGTTCTTTCCCCCATGTTTTTATAGGTTAACTTGGATAAGCTGAAGGAAAGAGCTCAAAGATTTGGTTTGAATGTCTCTTCAATCTCCAGAAAGGTAATGTAGGTTCGATGGAAGTAATGTTTTCGTGACATTAGAGCAGCTTATGGGAACTACATAGTCTGGAAATGACCCTCCTGAGAATGTAACTGGCTACAAAGCATTTCATTTCACATACTCGTTTGACTGTCACCTCCTCTCGCTGGCTCTTGATTATATTATAGGAATTACTTCACAAGCCGATTGCTTTTTCCCGTGGATTGTTTTCATAGCTTTCACCCAGGCTGCTAGAGCATGGTCTATATTTCTTTTCTTTTCTTTTTTTTTTTTTCCTTTGAGACAGGGTCATTCTGTTGCCAGACTGGAGTGCAGTGGTGTGATCATGGCTCACTGCAGGCTTGACCTCCTTGGACTCAGGTGATCCTCCCACGTCAGCCTCTCACGTAGCTAAAACTGCGGCGCGTGCCACCATGCCCAGCTAATTTTTTTCTATTTTTGGTAGAGACGAGATTTTGCTATGTTACACAAGCTGGTCTCGAACTCCTGGGCCTAAGGGATCCACCCACTTCTGCCTCCCAGAGTGCTGGGATTACAGGCGTGAGCCATTGCACCCAGCCTGAATATGGTCTATATTTCTGTTGGTTAAGATGTTGAATTCAGTGAAGTTAAAACTTATTACAACTACTTTAACTTTGATAATAGGCATAATGGGAATTAAATAATCAGGAGAAGATAGTCTTGTTTTTAGGTCAGAAGTACTTAGAAATAAAACTTGGAGGATTGGTGGAACAAAAATAAAAAAGTTAACTCATTCTTTATGCCCCTCTGCTAACTGATGTTATTTACTTTATTAAGCAAGATGACTTTGTTTACTTCATGCTGTGTGGGGTGATTGGTTCCCCAGGGCATAGTTGCCTTTGTAGTTTTGCTAGGCACATTGGAGAAAATGATAAGGATTTTTCTATTTGCCTAGAGCAGGTGATCTCTTAATCTTTGTTGTTTAGAACAGGAACATGTTTCTTGGTTGTCAAAGTGGTGGCAGGGTATTTGAAACCAGAAAAACCATCGTTTAAGAAAAAAATCGGCCAGGCATGGTGGCTCACGCTTGTAATCCTAGCACTTTGGGAAGCCAAGGCGGGCGGATCACCTGAGGTCAGGAGTTCGAGACCAGGCCAGCCAACATGGTGAAACCCTGTCTCTACTAAAATTACAAAAATTAGTCGGGCGTGGTGGCACATGCCTTAAACCCAGCTACTTGGGAGACTGAGGCAGGAGAATCACTTGAACGTGGGAGGCGGAGGTTGTAGTGAGCCGAGATCATGCTTCTGTACTCCAGCCTGGGCAACAGAGTGAGACTCCGTCTCAAAAAAAAAGAAAAAAATCATATTTCCAACTCAGCATAAAAGTATTTAGCTCTCTAGAAAGCCATTGGAAGAAACTTATCTGACATTGGTTATATGTTTTGCTTAGTAAAAAAACTAAACACTAAAAGTAATCATTATTGTGCCACTATGGAACACTTGTGTACAACTTTGTTCCATCTTCCATTTAGGTTAACTTTTTTTTTTTCCCCAATCTTTTTTGAGACAGGTTCTCACTCTGTCACCCAGGCTGCAGTGCAGTAGCATGATCACAGCTCATTGCAGCCTCCATTTCCCAGGCTCAAGCAAGCCTCCCACCTCAGCCTCCTGAGTAGGTGGGACCACAGACGTGTGCCACCGTGCCTGGCTAGTTTTTTGAATTTTTTTTTTAAGAGACGAGGTCTCCCTGTGTTGCCTAGCTGGTCTTGAACTTCTGGCCTCAAGCCATCCTCCTGCCTTGGCCTCCCAAAATGCGGGACTATAGGTGTAAGCCACTGCACCTGGCCTGGGCCATCATTTTTTATATTAACCAGAAATATAGCATCAGGTCCGTGTGCCTAGCATGATGCTGAGACCATCTATGCTCAGTGGGAATACTTGCTCATTTATGTGAAGTAAGAAAAAATTTGGAGTTGAGAGGCAGAGTATGTGATTCTTATGCCACATGCACCTTAATTGGGAAGGGCTGTTATAAACCAAAGGTCACTTGTGTTGTGCCAGATGGCCAAGGGGAAGGATGCCTTGGATCTGTGGCCCTAGTTCTCGTCTGTCTTCTCTTTTATATGAGGGCTAGATGTCTGAGAACCCAGCAGTAAAAATTCACTCCATCTTCTAAGGGATTGTCTGTGTTCCTTCAGAATCTACAAAATTGAACATCATATCTCTTACTACATAGCTCATAGCTCCTACTACACATTGCTGAGAAGAATTTGTCCATCAATGCTATACTATATACCTGTGTTATTTTTATAGTATTTCATTACAGGAATAGCAGGTCTTTCTCTTCCCTTCCCTAGACTTTTTCTCTTTCTTTGACCTTTTTTCATTTTTAATCCACAGGAGGCTGAGTAAAACAGATACATATATTAACTTTGTGACTTTGAGCAAATTACTGAACTTCTTTGATCCTCATCTGTAAGACTTAGAGCAATACCTAGCAACCTGGTTGGGAAGAGTAAATAATTGGATACAGGGCCAGGTGCAATGTCTTATGCCTGAAATCCCATTATTTTGGGAGGCTGAGGTGGGAGGATTAATTGAGCCCAGGAGTTTGAGGCTGCAGTGAGCCATGATAGTGACGCTGCACTCCAGCCTGGGTAACAGAGTGAGACCCTGTCTTTTTTTTTTCTTTTTTCCTGAGACAGGGTCTTGTTCTGTCACCCAGGCAGTGCAGTGGTGCAATGGTGCGATCTCAGCTCACTACAACCTCTGCCTCCTGGGTTCAAGTGATTTTTCCCACCTCAACCTCTTGAGTAGCTGAGAATATGGGAGTGCGCCACCACACCCAGCTAATTTTGCATTTTTAGTAGAGATGGAGTTTCTCCATATTGTCCAAGCTGGTCTCAAACTTTTGGTCTCAAGTGATCCACCCACCTTGGCCTCCCAAAGTGCTGGGATTACAGGCGTGAGCCACCGCACATGGCCTAGACTCTGTCTTTAAAAATAAAAATTGTATACAGTATTTGAAATTACCTAACAGTGCTACTTTGACCCTCAATAAATGTTGGTTTTCTTCCTTTTTTCTTAGTTCAGTTCTGTTGGTAAATTGCCTTTATGGCCTTAAAATTGAGTCAGTTAACTTGACTCAATTTTAGTTTTTGTTGATCATTGATAAGATTTCAGCACCCATTTTAAGTCTTTGGAGGGTTGTAATACAATAATGGTAATTGGCAGAACTCTGGCTCTGAGCTTCCTTCTCTAATAACATTGATTGCCAATATGTATAGCATATTTTTTTATTTGCATATGTGCTAGAGTAGTGCTTCTGAAATTATCTGTGGCAAAAAACTAGTTTAAAAATTTTTTTGATTATTGCAGAGTGATTACTTTTATAAAATGCAATTAAAATGTTACAATAGTATTAAATTATTCTGAAAGTTTCTTAACATTTTCAATTTCTGGACCTTTACACACTGGTAAGAAACAGTTTGGAGACTAGCACCAGGAGGCAGACTATATTTTAAGTAGCACTTTACTAGCATATGTATGGTTTCTAGGGACTACTTTACTTGGAGATTTGTGACCTTTTGAGATGTCCTCTTTGAGTATAGGCCCCATTTACATTGGTTATAAGTCTGGATTTTCAGAACCATCCTAATTTGAACAGTTTGGTCTGTTTTGTCCCGTAAACCATCACAGTGTCCCAGAAATGCTGATGTTTTGCTGTCTACACCAGCACTGTCCAATAAAACTTATTTTACAAAGCCATTTGTGGCTAGTGGCTACTGTATTGGACAACTCATATCTAGCTTATATCTCCCACACAGCTTTCATACTTGGAAGTGGCATAGAAATTACTTGTCAGACCACATACTTGCACCACTGTTAATCTGTAGCTGAGAATTTTTTTTTAATAATTGTAGAAAATATAAGCAGTTTCAGAGTAAATCTATGAAAGGAGAGAAGTTGGAGGAAAAGGAGTAAGACATAAGAAAAGTAAGGATTCTTTTTTTCTAGAACTTAGTGTTCTAGTGAACAGTTCCACATCCTGGAATTGCAGCTGGGTACATTGTCTGGTGAGAATTGGCTAGTTCTTGTGCTTAACTATTTATCACCAGAATGAGTTGTTACCTAGTGTTTGGTTGGTTGGCAGAGGTTAGTGACTTAGTTAAGTTTGTGTTTATGGAACTGCCAGATGAGCATACTTTTGTCCACTTCATCCTGGGATTCTGGGTTCCAGTGTAACCTTCTATATAATTTGGTCACTTGTCTTTTAAGTTGTGTAATTCTCTAGGCACGGATTTTATTCAGTTAGATGTGGTACACATAGTGGCAGTTAGCAGGTAATGTAGCCTCTTCTAGTATTCTAAGCAAGACAATGAAAAACCCACTTTTTGTCATCTCTGTTGCGTGGGGTTTGTCTGCTTGATCCAACTTATGTCCCTGCTTGCTTGCTGATTTCTCTTTAGTGACTGACTTGGCTACTGATCAGTGTAGTATATGAATAAAGAGAGGAAGTATGTGAGAGCAAATGAGCTGTGGATTGAATAATGTTTATGATCGATTTCTTTTTTTCTTCTTTTTTAGAGATAGGGTCTCATATGTTGCCCAGGCTGGTCTCCAATTCCTGGGCTCAACTGATCCTTCTGCCTCAGCCTCCCAAAGTGCTGGGATTACAGGTGTTAGCCACTGTGCCCAGCCTATTTTTTATTTATTTATTTTTTATTGTCACAGTCTGCTCATCTCCTCTTCATATTTTAGATTTATGGCTTGAGCATATTACAGATTTAAGGAACCTGAGTCTCTGCTATTTTTCCTAGGCTGACTTTTACATGACTATTTACATATTCAGTTTTTAGCTCCACTAGTGTACTATGCACATATCAGGCACTACACAGAAATGTAAAGAAATCTCTCTCCCACGTCCCCCCAGCCTCCCCTAAATCATCATCTCCTTTTCCCTCTGCCCAAGAAAAGTCTGTTTGTTCATGTTTCCAGCTTAAGTCTCAGTGAATAGAATCTTACTGGTTTAGACTA